TGGTGTGTGCAGTCTGTGACCAGCAGATTCAGAACAATCTTCTGGTAATTAAGTAGGGCTGCAGTCCTGCGCAAACTTGCGTGGAACAAAGCCCCACTGACTACAGCAGGAGTTACAAGTAAACATGTGCATCAGTGCTTAGTTCACTTCTTGTGGCTCTTTCTTATATGCCCAGGGAAGTGCTGATCACCACTTTGGGGTCAGGAAGCAATTTTTCTCCAAGCCAGTTTGGCTGGAGATCCTGGAGGGTTTTTTTTTTTACATCTTCTGAGTGTGGAGCAGTGGTCACTGGGGGTGTTGGGGGGGAGGTATTTGTGAATTTCCTGCATTGTGCAGGGGGTTGGACTAGATGATCCTGGAGGTCAATTCCAACTCTATGATTCAATGATTCTATGTATATGTTGGGCTGTAAGATATAATTCTTCGACAAGTTCAGCTAGGCACATCAGCAGATCACACTTGTATAATTGTTACAACCATTTTCTTAAAACTCATCGTCTTGGAGGCACTTCCATCCCACATGGAGGAACTTTACTTTCCCAACACGGTTGGACCATGTGCCACCCAAGCCTAAAAAAAAGAGATACCACTGTCAGTTTAATACATCTTGTAAACTTTCATGACGTTACATACCAATGAGTGGTCATTCTGATACTGTCTCTTCTGAAATCTAAACAAGCAGAATTTTTTTAAAAATTGAACAAGACTGAAAATGGAAAAAAAAATGGGGGGGAGGAATCTAACCCAAACTAAACTGAATTAAGAACCTAAAGATTAAGAAGATCTGAATGTAAACACCCAATAATTCTGTCAAATTCAAAATATTAAATATTGACATATACAAAAAATGTGTGTATTTATTACAAAGTAAATTAAAAACAGATATAGGCCCTGATGATAGCCTCAATTAAGAATCAAATTGTATCATGACAACCAAAAATGACCATTATTGACCCTGACCATAACCATTTTGGCCCACTGATCTTCCTCGGTGGTCAAACAAATGATATTACAGAATGGCTCCTGACATTACATGCAACAATCATCCCCACATGGCTTAAATGAAGAGGTTGACTGGGTATGTATTTGACAAACTGGTGTCCCTCTAGTAATCAATATTATGCTGTAATAATTGTATTCTCCAACACATTTGAATTTTGGGTCATTCCCTCCCCTTCCCGTAATCTGTGGTGGGACACATGCGCAGAGAGTCATACTTTTTTCCATCCTGATTGAATCAACCCAGTGCCTAGCATAAAGGGGGTAGGGTACTTCATACTATTACATCACTATTGGCTCTTGGTGGCATTAAATTTTTCTGACCAAGTGAGAAATGTAATTTCAATTGATATATTATTCTATTTTTCCATGTCATAGGAAGATAAAAAGAACCCTACTGGACTAGACCAATGGTCCATCTACTCTAGCATCCTGTCTCACACAGTGCCCAACCAGTTCCTCTGGAGTGCTAACAACAGGGCACAGAGGCTGAGGCCTTGCCCTAATGTTGCCTCCTGGCTCTGGAATTCAGATGTCAGTGCCTCTGAATGTGAAAGTTCCCCTCAGTCACCATGGCTAGTAGTTGTTGATAGTCATTGTGGCTTCCCCTCCTCCATTCCTGAAAGGAATATGGGATTCTCATTTCAATCACACAGCCCATTTCTGAGCACAGTCAAGCTCAATTGCCCCATGTTGGATAGTCCCTTCACTGCCTTTGCATCCCTGGCTACCAAAAAAGCTGTGCGCTTGGCATGTGGTAACACTGAAGCAATTTCCTCCTCTGCTCTAAGACAAGTCACCTTACACGTTTGATCTCACTTCCTTGAACCTGCATAGCACTTCAGACCACCTTTACTGTATGTTTATTTGCACATGTCCTACCCAAGCCTTAAAAAAAGAGAATAGGGATATGTCCTACCCAAGTTCTCTCCCTTCTGTTCTCAGCTCCACCTGAGCGCTTCCAAGTGCTACTGGACATTTTCCTTGGCTGTTCTCTCATTACAGATGCTGCCACTGTGGGTTCAGTGGAAGAGTGCCTGATTTGCATGTGTAAGGTTCCAGATCCAATCCCTGGCACCTTCAGTTAAAGAACTGGGAAGTAGGTGATAGGAAAGACCTCTGCCTGAGACCTTGGAGAGCTGCTACCAGTCTGAATAGACAGTACTGATCTTGACGGAGTGATGATCTGATTTGGTACAAGGCAGCTTATCAGTTCTTTAAAAAACATTTTTTAAAATAAGAATATATTTTTAAAAAATTAGGTGCACAATTGAACCATTACTGTAGGAAAGTGTACCTGACCATGGCAGCAAACTATCAAGAATGAGGTCTCTGATTAATATCTTTGCCTTTGGTCACAGACGATAATCATTATTAAGTAACTTAAAATATATTTTGGGACATGTTTTCTATTTTATCATTTCTAATAATTAATTAACAATTTGTTCTGTTTTTCCTTTCTCCTCCAGAAAAAAAATGTCTTGGTCAATTTATAAGAAATGACTCTTGCATTGTAATGTCAGGAGCCATTTTGTAATATCATCTGTTTGACCACTGAGGAGGGTCAATAGGCTGAAATGTGTATGGTCAGAGCCAATAATCTTTATTGAACAAGAACCTCCAGATAGCTTCTCCAATATCCTGTATGTCCTTTTTCCATTTAGATGCATACAGCTAGTTACCTGCACAATCTTTGGTTATCAGTAATCAATATAGTTTGCAGCGGTGTCAAACTCAATGGAAATGTGTTAAAGTTTTTTAAAAATATTTAATTGTGTTTGTCTGTGTCCTTTATAAAGTGTATATCTCCACTACCTGGCATTGCCTTTTATGACACACATGGCCCGGCCCAACAAGGTCTCATTTATGCTTGATGGTCTCACTGTTGCTGTCCTAATAGCTTTCAAACAGATGCTTACATTTAACAGGAATAAATGATTTCATGTCATTCATCGATCTCAAGCCCATTGTTTCTGATTTACGTGCTTCCTTGATCAGTTTTGCAAGGGCAATTGTCACAAACAACACCGCTACCCATTCTGAAATGCAGCAATGTGTGTTTTAAACTATTCTTGGGGTTACATGAGATTTGAGATTAATTTTCCATGTATTTCTAAATATTTGCCCACTTTGAAATGTACACCAAGAAATATTTTATTTATTTAGGAGATTTATCGATCACCTCTCTGGAGACCTGTATGAGGCAGTTAGCAATGTGAAAAACAAAAGCATAAAACATTAAAAACCAGCCATAAAATTTTGGATGAGATATCTATAAAACAACATTAAAAAGCAACACATCATAAGAACATAAGAACATAAGAGACGCCAATGTTGGATCAGGCCAAAGGCCCATCCAGTCCAACACTCTGTGTCACACAGTGGCCAGAAATACCAGTGCCATCAGGAGGTCCAGCAGTGGGGCTAGGACATTAGAAGCCCTCCCACTGTTGACCCCCCCCCAAGCACCAAGAAGACAGAGCATCACTTGCCCCAGAGCCCCTAGCTATACCTTGTGGCTAATAGCCACTGATGGACCTCTGCTCCATATGCTTATCTAATTCCCTTTTGAAGCCGTCCATGCTTGTAGCCGCCACCACTTCCTGTGGCAGTGAATTCCATGTGTTAATCACTCTTTGGGTGAAGAAGTACTTCCTTTTATCCGTTCTAACCCGACCGCTCTGCAGTTTCATGGAGTGCCCACGAGTTCTTGTATTGTGAGAAAGGGAGAAAAGTACCTCTTTCTTTACCTGCTCTTTCCCATGCATAATCTTATAAACCTCGATCATGTCACCCCTCAGTCGTCTTTTCTCCAAGCTAAAGAGCCCTAAGCGCCTTAATCTTTCCTCATAGGGAAAGTGTTCCAACCCTTTTATCATTCGAGTTGCCCTTTTCTGCACTTTTTCCAAAGCTATAATATCCTTTTTAAGGTGTGGTGCCCAGAACTGCACACAGTATTCCAAATGAGGTCTCACCATTGATTTATATAGGGGCATTATTATCATCATTCTAGACATTATTATCATCATTCTAGACAATGAATGATTGTCTCCGTGGTCTCTCATTCCGATCCCTGAACACTCCTGCTACACCCAAGGGCTGTCATTCCACTCCGTGGTCTCTCATTCCAGTCCCTGAACACTTGTTACTCCTAGGGGCTGTCATTCCACTCCATGGTCTCTCATCCCAGTCCCAGAACACTTCTGTTACTCCTAGGGGCTGTCATTCTCTCATTCCAGTCTCAGAGTCCCCTATTTGCGCCCAGAGACCCTAATGGAAAATCCATTCTGCATTTTTATTGCAACTCTACTTGTACTGTAATGTATTTCAATGAAGCCCATGCAAGTCAATTGGCATTCCTGGCTCCCATGATTTCCAATGGGCCTTCAAGTGTTTCCCATTGTTTCCAATGGGCAATCCTATCCTTCCTTTTAGAACATCCCTTGGGTGGGTTATCATAGCCTATCGAAACAGGCTGCAGCTTGCCTTGGAGCGGTGAAGGGTAAGCGGGAAAAGGCTTTCCCCATGCCTCCGCTACAGACTCGGAGCTCGGCACAAGCCGCACCGGGAGGAACAAATCCTGAATACTACCGGAGCAGATTCCTCTTTGATACCGCCCTCCCTCCCCTGCCCTGGAGTCCCCCATGGGCGGCAGCACTCATGATCACTCCTCCTGCTCCTCCTCCCGCCGCCACAGGGCTCCAATAAGATTGGAGGAGAATGCTCGGGTCGGCATAATCCCCTGCACAGTTTATGAATTAGGGAAATACAGCCAACTTCATGTGAGTCTGCGCACGGGAGAGTCGCGCAGGCGCTTTCTTCGTTTTGTGTAGGGCCTTTCTAAGCGGTGAATTGGCTTTCTTCTTTTACGCATTCGAGAGAGAAGAACGGGATGTCGCCGACGCTCCACGAATTGACTGGGCAGTCGAACATTTTGTGTAGGGCCTTTCTAAGCGGTGAACTGGCTTTCTTCTTTTACGCATTCGAGGGAGAAGAACGGGATGTCGCCTACGCTCCACGAATTGACTGGGCAGTCGAATGGTGTGTGTCCACGTGGAGCTGGTTGTAAGGTCGCAGTGGCCTGGAATGTTGGGCTGTGGAAAGATTCTGGCTTTATTCTCCAGTGTGTGTCGTGCTTTGAGAGTAGAGTTGCAATGTTTGTTCCCGTAGGCATTAAGCGCTTTCCCGTGCCTTGTCGCAGAGATCGTTAACGGGCTTCATTATTTACCGCAGAAAATGGGCACGGAGTTGGAGAACGTGCGGAAATCAGTTTACAGAGTCAACACAGAAAAAAAAACCTTCCTATTTGTTCTACCGTGTAATTTAAAAAAAATTTAATTCACTTTTTTTTAAAGTCAAAGGCGGACGTAGAAAATACTGCTTGGTGTTTCTGGAGATAAGCAAAACTAACATCAGACTTTGGTTTTAGTCCTTCCCTGATTTCACATTTATCAGTTTCTTCTGTATCTTTCTTTCCCCGCCCCCACAGACGTACTAAATGATGCGATACAGAATACCAATTAGAGAGACTAAATTAGGAAGCCGCAAAGACTCGCAGGGAGGCAGGACGGCCTCGCGGCGCTGCTTCGCCTCCGTTGCCCGCCTCCTCTCTCTCCCCACCTGAATCTTCCTCCCTCCCCCGCTCGCTGTCATTTTGTTCTTTCCCTCCTCCCGCCCCCTTGAGCTCCTCGTGGTTTGTGTTTTGGGTTGTCTGGCCGGCATACCCTGCAGACCACATTATAAGAATCTAGATTTTTAAATGTACAATCCGGAAAGCAAAAATTGCAGGCATTGATTTCTACCTACAAGGGTACACAAAGGCGTGCAGGGAGGATTAGGTGACATATGCACATCATTAAGATTTTTTTTTCCATATGCTATGAATGCTTTGTTGTGGTTATTGCCAGCCTTTTGTATAATCTGGTTTTCTTGGTTATATTTCATGTTGTTTCTGCCAACAGTGAATCGAGTGCTATCTGCCTTGTGTTGCCTGCCTCACGCTGGCTCTTCTGGCACAATTTCTTTTCTCCTGTTTCACATCTTTTGGGTAACTTTGTATAATGTGCAGATGCAGTGTTATTCTCAGTTACCCTTTTAGACTAACTCCTCCCCAAAGAGTTAATTGACAGCAAAGCTATACTATACTAGAACAGAACAGAGTTGTAGTCCAATCGGCTGGTTTCCAATTTGCCCTATTTGGCGGTGGCGATACAACTGCAGAGCTTTATGGATGACACTTCCATGCTAGACCCGTTTTAGTCCAGCTTCTGCCCAGGCCATGGGAGGGAGGCAGCACCGGTCGCCCTCACAGACGAGCTCCGGAGGCATCTGGATTGGGGTTGGACCTGTTGGCGGCATTCGACTGACCCACCACCTCGCCAACATGGGGGTACCGGGGCTTGCCTTGCAAGGGCTAGTCTCCTTTCTTCATGGTTGGGGACAAAGGGGGATCAGATGACCCGAAGGCACCCACTGATCTGTGGAGTGCCCCAAGGGGCAGTGCTCTCCCTGATGTTATTGAACATCTACATGCGCCCTGTTGCCCAGATTGCCTGGAGACACGGGCTTGAGTGTCACCAATATGCGGATGACACCCAGCTGTATCTGTTGTTGGGCGGCCAGGAAGATCTGGACCAGGCGCTGCAGTTTGTGGCTGGCTGGCTTAGACTGAGTTGATTGAAATTGAATCTGACAAAGACGGAGGTCCTGTGCCTGAGTCGGAGTGGATCAGGAGTAGGGATCCCATTGCCAGCCTTCAATGGGGCACTGTTGGTGCCAGCACTGAGGGTCAGGAGTCTGGGAGTGCTCCTGGATGCCACCTTAACAATGGAGGCCCAGGTAGCAGCCACTGCCAAGGCAGCCTTTTACCATCTTCGGCTGATTAGGCAGCTGGTTCCCTTCCTCGAACGCAATGACCTGGCAACAGTGATCCACACAATGGTCACCTCGAAATTAGACTACTGCAATGCTCTCTACATGGGGCTGTCCTTATTGCAACTCCAGAAGCTGTAGCTGGTGCAAAATGTGACAGCCAGGCTGTTGATGGGCACTCCTATGCGGAAGCACATCCAGCCTGTGCTAAAGGCATTGCACTGGCTGCCTACAGAGTACCGGATTTGCTTCAAGGTGCTGGTTTTGATCTTTAAAGCCCAATATGGCCTGGGGCCAGCCTACCTGAAGGACCACCTTCCCCCACATGTCCCCCAGAGAGCACTGAGGTCAGGGTTGCAAAACCATTTGGCCCTCCTTGGACTGAAAGACACCAGACTGGCCTCTACCAGGGCAAGGGCCTTCTCAGTGGCCTTCAAAGGATTGTGGACCTCTGATCTAGCAGTATTTTTTCCTTAGTCCTGAAACTGGCTGTTTTGTTCAATACTGTTATACCTGCAGATGACACAATTCAGAGGTATGTTCTACAGATTGCTATGAGCACCCCTGTGCAAACAATTATTATTATTTATTATTATTATTTACTTTTTAAAAAATTCAAAATAGTATGGAAAACTTCATTTTTTAGCAGGGTCTGTGTCTGTTACTGCATCTTTGTTTTCTAATCTCCAGTGGACACCACTGTGAAGTAGAGTAGATAATATGTAAGAGAGATTGACTGTTTTGAATGTGTACTTTTTCTTAACACAGATATCAAGAAAAGTTTGAAGGATGAAATTGAATCAATTCTGCAAGAGCGCATTATGGTTTTGGATGGAGGCATGGGGACCATGATCCAACAGTACAGTAGCTTGACAGAAGAGGCATTTCGAGGTGAAGAATTTAAGGATCATCCCAAGCCCTTGAAGGGAAACAATGACCTGCTGAGTATAACTCAATCTGATATCATCTGCAAAATTCACAAGGTAGATTATGGCCTATATTCTAAGGCTTTTGAGGGAACAAATATATTGATTGTTTTGAAGTATCTTAGTTTTTGAAATGTGTGTTTGCTGAAAAATATAACAGTCCTGTCAGTAAAAGTTCTAAGTGATTAATAATGGTTACGTTTGTTAAAATATTCTGTGTTTTGGGACTCAGATGGGAGAAAGTGAATAGAAGGACTTGGTGCAAAGAGACAACCAAGAAGATGGGAAAAGGGACAGGAGGGTTTTGGTCATCTGTGAAAGTAAGAAAAATGGGTTGAATAGGAAGATTTGGACTATAATGATACCTGGAAAAATAACAAGGGGCAGGATGACATGTGTATTCTGGGAAGCTAAAAAAGGTGGGGGTGGAGGAATTTGAGCTGAACAATGGTTGAGAAGGTAGAAATGGTCTGTGTGGGAGTTTTGTGGAAGTGAGGAAGGTCATTATGCCCTTTTTGACATTCCATACTCTATTAACTTGCAGTATATGTGTGTGTGTGTGTCTGTGTGAAGAATTTTACATATAACTTTAAAGAAAAGCAGTGTAACTTGGTATATGGGATAGTTTTGTTTTAAAAAAAAAATGAAGGGAGAAAGTCAACACAGCATGAGAACAGAGTGCCTGCCAAACGTGTGGACATTTTTCTTCCTCTCTAGGCCCTCCAATACCAAAGTATATCAAGGCTAAAAAGATGCCTTCTCCTTCTAGCATATTCAGATCCTACTGTTAGAGAATGAAAGTTGCTGCCAAAGATCCAGTCCCAATAGAGAAGGAGCCAGAAGGAATGTAGAGAGAGTGCTGTGGGGCTTGGACAGTGAGCTCCAGGTCTTGGCACTTGGTCTTCATGTGGTACTTCTGATAGTGCCCTGTGAAATTGCTTGAATTGCTTTACTGTCGAGCTGGATGGTAGGGGGCTAGAATGAACCTCTGTGCTTGGTTACGGAGGGATGGCTGTGTTAATCTGTTGTGACCAAAATGACAGTGTCCATCAGGAAGGGTGTGTATGTGGGGGTTAGTACAAAGAGAGTCTAGAATGACTAGGTCAGACATAGGTGTATTGCAAAGCACAGATGAAAAAAATATACAGTGCACACCCTTCGTCACTGCATGTAGAGTCCTAAGTGTAAATCAAAGCCTGTGCATGTACATTCCTGTGTGATTAGGGCTTACTGTCATAAGGGCTGGATAGATCAGCCATTTGAGGCCCATGTGTATTTTATTTTATTTGTTGGTTGATTAAAATATTTATACCGTGCTTTTCCCTTGTGGCTCAAAGCTCCCTATAATTCCCAAAGTTAGAAACATATAAAGTACAGTAAAAGTCCCTTTAACGTTGTGTTCATATGTTGTGGTTTACACGAAATGGTTTGCCTGTGGTTGGGGAGAGTAACGGTTTAAAGTTTCAGATATGTATGTAGCCATATAGGAGGCATTTACAAGATACATAATTTACTGCAGGAAAATGAAAGTTTAAAAAGTCAACTTTTGGTAACTTTTCTTGTTACAAAGAATAATGCAAGCTCATCTTTAGTTATCAGGGGAAAAAAACTCATAGATCCAGAGGAAACTCATCAATTATCAGTAAGTTTCTTTGAAAATTTAACCTGGGAATCTCTCTTTGCCAGCTGTTTGATTAAATATAACTGTCTGTAATTACCTTGTTTGTTTTTCCTTTGAAGAAGAAAAAGATTTATACTGACATAAGCAGTCAGTGGGGTCATTTATTTTAAGACGACACATGCACAATTCTCTTAGGAGTTGAAGTGTGTTCGTTCTGGGGAACAGCATGAGGTATCAAGGAGGAATTATTGCTATTGCCACTTTCAATTATAATTTAATTACTTATTGTACGGTAAATTTCCTTTTCCTGCTGTTCAAATAATGCAGAAGTGTAAGATGAATTTATAAATGATATGACTTTTTAAGCTTTCCTCTAATCTCTTGTGATTAATAGTAGAATTAAAAATTGTTAGAAAATGAGTGAGTTCCATTTAATATCTAGTTACTTACCAACTCTTATATATTTAACAGTTTGCCTCTGTTAGGAGTAGTGTTATCAACAGATCTGGAGAAAAATGTGCTGTTCCTTTAATAGAGGTTTATGCTTTTCATGGTGTGGAGGAAAATAATAAGAAGAGAAGAGATTGGATTTATACCCCGCCCTTGACTCGGAGTCTCAGAGTGGCTTACAATCTCCTTTCCCTTCCTCACAACAGACACCCTGTGAGGTAGGTGGGGCTGAGAGAGCTCTTTCAATGAACTGCTTTTTCAAGAATAGCTCTGACAGAACTATGGCTTGCCCAGGGTCATCCAGCAGCTGCAAGTGGAGGAGTGGGGAATCAAACCCAGTTCTCCCAGATTAGAGAGCACTTAACCACTACACCAAACTGGCTCTCATAACATCCTATTAAAGGGGCAGGACAGGTTTTCCGCAGGCAGTTGGCAACCCTAGTCAGGAGCAGACCAGTATATGACTTAATCTCTCCTTATATATAAAAGCCAGTTGGGGTGACTTCTGGCCAATGGGGTGGCAGGATTAATGCGCGGCAAAATCAGTTCGCTGCCTGAACTGCCACTCTAAAACTCAGCCAATTGCTGGGTGGCCGCGTCCCGCTGCTGGATTGCCCCCCCCCCGAGGGTGTGCCGGGGGGAGGTACGAGCCCTGGTGCCTTCACCCATTGGGACCTTGCGCTAGTGGAGGGGGGAGCGAGCACCAGCCGACGACCACGCCGGGTGCTGGTTCCGACAGCCTTGCACCCCTGCTGCGGCAGGTGGGCCAGCCAGGTGGCCGAGGAGGGAAGCCT